GAATAAGAGAAACCAAAAAGCAATCGATCTTCGATTTTGATGGCAAAACAAGCCGATCTGATTGGCAGAAGCAACGCAGAAGATATGACCTTGGAAAATTCAACGCGTGCTTTTTCCCATTTATAAAAAATAAAATAGTAAAGCAAATTTTATTATCTTTTTTTCTTTTTATCAAGAGTGTCGGCCTTTCTCGATGGACTGAATAAAAAATATTTGCAAAAACGTACAGGTATTTTGGATGTTAAGAAGAATATTGTAGTTGGATATGGCAAAATTTCTGTTACCAAACAGGGGTGTGGGCTGAAATCTTGCATGCATGAATTTCAACACTTCTTATTAATAACTGTATGTTTCCGGTGTAGCTTACTTGTAAAACAAGACCGAAAGCATGGAGCGCTCAGTGCCATCTTATTGTTATTTATTGATGAAGACTTAAACGACAGGTGAAAGCGGGAAAACATTAAGAGATAACAATCAAGCAAGCGACCTTATAACATTCACACCAAGTAATGGCGCATTACATTGTTCCGCGTTTCCACTAGCAAGATCATAGTTTCTATTCTTGGCAAATATTATCATTTGTCGCATCTAGTGAAATATTTTCTTAGTTCACTGTGTTTCAACTTTTGTACAATCCCTCAAAATAAATGTAAAAATGACACTTAAGGAATTGGCTAACAATTATTATCAATGTTACTACAGTTCAAATAATTAAAAATAATATATCTGTAGTAAAAAATGAACTAGTGAATAAACTTATACCAAAGTTTTATTGCACTTACTGCGACTACTCGTCTACTGACGGATTAAAAATAATGATTTTCATACTTCCTAGATCTTAAGGGGAGATAACTGATGATTTATCAGTACGATATCAATTATTAATTTAATAATTTTAAACAACTCCAGTTGGCGCAGTGGATCTATTAAACTTACTTTCAGGCGATGATTACTCAAAGAAATTTAAATTTTAAACATATATTGCGATTTAAAAAAGAAATATCAACTATACGAGTACCGATTTTTTTTAATATTATATATATGATATTGTGAAGGCATGGCGGAATACTGAATTGCGGCTGGGATAAAGGAATCGAAGAATCGAGTTTGAGTTCCAGCCGAGTCCGTTACATTGCAAACGTATTGTTATATACCGTACCTATGAACACGAATGGGTTTGTCCGAATCCCTATAAATATGTTAGGCACTATTGTAAGTGGGAGCAAAATGCTGACTAAGCTATCAGCGTGAGCTATCAGCGTGAGCTATCAGCGTGGGAAGTTCTTGCCGTGTCTTCGGGCAGAGAGGAACCCGGACGAGACTCTACCCTTCGGCATAGCCTCGTTCCCGGGAGGTAGTCAGATACCCGATCCCTCGTATGCCGGGTCTACGGGCAATTTTTGCTCGAGCCTTCCAGCTCGGATTTCCCCACAGGAGGGAGGCAGATAAATGTCGTAATACACTGTCTATGTAGTTCCAAACTTGCAGTGGTTTATCTACTTCACGCCGCTGGCGAGTATTGTATTTTGTTGATGTTATAAAGATTACCATTTTATTTCCAACCTCTGTTTTGGTTATTTCTCATTCAGTAACCTTTCCTAGGTTACAACATTTATGAATCCAACTCTTCTCCCCCAGCTATGAGTAAATAGCAATACAGACTGGGTTCTATAGCTGTGCATGACAAACGGTCTCGGAGAAGGAAAAAAATATTCGTTTCTGTATCAAACTCGGTATGACATCTCTTTGACCGTAGATTACTACAACATCGCATATCAAGTACGCGTAGTCTTGATTTCGCAACAAAGACGTCATTTTCCGCTTTTTTAATTAATTCATCGAGGGTCACTGGTTACTCTCGTACTACATTGTACAAAATGCTTTTGTTTTTTTTTCCACGTCGCTTTTTAGTGCTGCGATGGCCATGCCCTCCAATGGTTTCACATTTTTAGGTATTAACCGAGATAATCCATCCGCACGTCCTAATTTTTTAGATGGTTGGTAATCTATCGTAAAATCATAGTTTAATAGGATGGTACCCCATGATTACACAAAATGTTTTTTTTTATTTCCATTTCGCTTTTTAGTGCTGCGATGACCATGCCCTCTAATTGTGCCGCATTTTTAGGTATTAACCGAGATAATCCATCCACACATCCTAATTTTCTAGATGGTTGGTAATCTATCGTAAAATCATAGTTTAATAGGATGGTACCCCAGGATTACACAAAATGTTTTTTTTTATTATTTCCATTCCGCTTTTTAGTGCTGCGATGACCATGCTCTCTAATGGTGCCGCATTTTTAGGTATTAAGCGAGATAATCCATCCACACATCCTAATTTTTTAGATGGTTGGTATTCTATCGTAAAATCATAGTTTAATAGGATGGTACCCCATGATTACATAAAATGTTTTTTTTTATTTCCTTTTCCCTTTTTAGTGCTGCGATGACCATGCCCTCTAATGGTGCCGCATTTTTAGGTATTAACCGAGATAAT